ACTTTGGCTACTGTAGACGCTCAATTTACTTCGATCCTTCGCTGGAACGAAATGCAAATGTTATTGACAATAATTGCAACGATTATTACATTTTCCGTTAGTCATATATATATATTTAAACATGATTATTTTACAGTTATTTCATTCGATACCCTTAAACTGAAAAGGTAGTAACAAATTAATCTGTAGAATATGTAGTATACGTAGAAAACATAACGAAAGAAGGGAGACACATTGCGAATGCAAGAAATGTGATTGTATTGATCCATGCTTCGAATTGTACCATACTAAATCATTAGATATATTATGAAATAAAGCTTAAATGTTGAATATTTAGTATCAGCACCAACAATTCAATTCACAGAACACGAATAAATAAATAATACTGGTTTAATGTAGTGCAATCGAGTGTTTTGATTATTTCAATATACAATACAATATATATTTCTCAGTATATCCTTAGATCTAGCCAATAAACCATTCTTTATCTGTAGGGTGCGAATAATCTGTGAAATGTTCCATTTCTACTTGCTGTTCTATAATACAAAACTTAAGATTACCTCTTTTCCGACCGGAACGAATCTCGTCCGAAATCATCAACTCGTAACGGCGTAAAGAGAAATAAGAAAGAAACGGGTACTGGTAATTTCGTAAATAGCCGGCAGAGAGTATGAGTTTGCGGAGCTATCGAAAATAGAGGATCCGCGGCAGGTAAACAAGCAAACAGCCCTCAAAGAGCGCGGAAATTTCAAAGCTACGAGATCGCATAGTCTCAGCTTTCTTCATCTGGGTGGAGAGGGCAGGCTACACTTTCCAAACCTTTAATCGCCGGAGACGTTTGTGTACTTTCCTCCCGAGGGAAGACAGGCCCCTTAAATAGCCAGGAAAAGTTTCAGGTAGTTTCTTAATACCGAAACGAAACGCGCTGCCCTCCCTGAGCAACAGTTCTTGCCTCGTTTCGGTCCGCGGCGAGCGGAAACTTGCGGGAAACAGCAACTTTTTAAATACATTTGAAAGCGTTCAACCCGCTTGGGAAGAGGAAACGAAGGTCGGATTTATATGCAACGAGAGCGCTTTGTTTGTAGAAAGTAAGGTCCCTCGGCCATGATTGCAAACGACGATAATCTTTTTGAATGAGACTACACTCTGTGCTTTCATGTTACGGCTGCTTGATATTAAATAACAACAGAATTACACGAACATTACATTTCAATTGTTATTCGATATTAAAACAGGCAAAAGATGTATCGTATTTATACCTTTGTCTTTCAGGATTTCGCGCTTTTTTATTTCTAATAATATATAACAATATTTTCATTAAATATATATAAAGTATATATATTACATTAAATGTTAATATTATATTATGTATGAAAAAATTGATGAATCGTAAGCTCAACTTAAACCACGAATTAAATATATATTTCACATCATTTCGAAGAGACAGTAGCGTGAGATACTTTTTTTAAAAAAAAAAAAAGTATACTAAACAAATTGTCCTTCATAACTAAATAAACCGCGGCGTTTGCAAGATCGAAGTCTCTCCTTCACGAGGATCCCTTAAAGTTTGATTGCGCGAATTTCTTTTCCACAAAGTGGCGACAATTTTTCATCGAGCGAGTACAACCCTGTACTGTGCGTGTACACTCAGTTTCTCG